TTTGTTGATTATATGAGTATAATCGACAGTTAATATTGGTTGTTGATTATGTTAAAATTAACATTCCTCTAATAGCATTTATAATTATTATATATCTTGTAAATCATAAATTTAATAACAAAAATTTAATATTATCAAATGTGAAATTTTTTTATTAATGGTTAAATGCTAAATTTGGTCCCTCAACTTTAGTGAGTTGCACATTTTTGGTCCCTCAACAATTTTTTGCACTTTTTTGATCTTTATAAACTTTAAGAAATGCACTCCATTAGTCCTTCTTTTAATTTCGATCGTTAATTCGCTCATGTGGCATTTTTTATTATTTTTTGATGACGTGGCAAAAACAAATTGAAAACGTGTTGATGTGGATTTTTTTTTCATGATGTAGATTTTTTTTTTCATGCCAACTCACATAATTACTATTTATATTTAAAAAAAAAAAATCGTCTTCTTCCTTTCTCTTCTTTCTTCCTCTTCTTCCTCTTCTTTCTTCCTCTTCTTCCTCAGGCCAGGCCATTGAACCAAGTTTGCTGGGTTCAACGAAACCCAGAACCTAGCTCCACTTTTTTTTTTTTTTTGTTTATATGATTGTTTGCCAAGAGATTATCCAAATTGCAGGTTGTTGTGAGGTATTTTTGGGCAACTGGTTTTTTTTTGTTATATGATTGTTTGCCAAGAGATTATTCAAATTGCATGTTGTTGTAAGGGATTTTGGGCAATTGCAGGTTGTTGTGAGGGATTTTTGGGCAATTGAATTCAATGAATCGAGCTGGGTTCGATGGAACCTATTTGCTAGGTTACATCGAACCCAAATCTACTGGGTTCTGTCGAACTTCAATCTTGAAAATGGAAGGAACACCATTTATGGAAAGAAGAAAAACAGTAACCGATGGGCAAAGAAGCAATTCTTAGTGGTGATGTGGGACCCATTTGGATGGATTTTGTGCGATTTCGTCAGGGTAGCATGTGACATGGCAGAAGTTTTATGCAAATCATCACTTTTTTAAGTTTTGCTCTCCACATCATCAAAAAAAATATAAAAAATGCCACCTAAGCAAGGTTAACGGCCCAAATTAATAGAAGGACTAACGGAGTGCATTTTGTATAGTTGAGGGATCAAAAAAGTGCAAAAAATTGTTGAGGGACAAAAAATGTGCATTTCATAAAGTTAAGGGACCAAATTAAGCATTTAACCTTATTAATATTATATATATTTTGTGTTGTACCTATAATTTTGATGATTACAAAACACATTTGAGTGACTAATTGGTTTATTTAAGTGTGTAGTTAAATTGTTAAAAGATTGCAAGTAAACTTGGACTGTACTAAAAATAAACCAAAAGGATTGAAAATGTGCAGAGAACCAGTTCTTGAAACCTGCAACAGACTCTGTGAAATGGAAGTGCAGAAAGCCAGCTTAAAGAGATTGCAGCCGGTTCTAGAAGTGTAAAGAGCCGGCTCTAGAAGTGTAAAGAGTTGGCTCTTAAAGCTACAGTCGGTTACAGGCAAAAATTTAAAGATCATTGTTTGGCGCATGGAGAAAAAATGTAAAGCCGGCTCCAACTTTGTAGCTGACTGTAAGGGTGCATTTAATGCACAATGGTCGACTGATTTGAAGAATAATTAATATTTTTGAAATCGGAATACCAAAGCCAGCTTAACATTTTTGTAGCTAGCTGTCCAAGAAAATAGAATGTGCAGCAAACCCACAAAGCTAGCTTTGCGTTTTGCAACCGGCTCTACGGAGAAAACAGAATGTGCAAGATCCCGCAAAGCCAGCTGTAGAAATGGTAAGCCGGCTGTATAGAGCCGGCTCTAGGAAGTTAAGCTGACTGTCTTAACAATTCTGCAACTCGAGCTTTGCGTCCCGTAGAGCATTTAATGATCCCAAACGGTTAGAAACGGCTATTTTCAAGTAAGAGACTATAAATATGGTTGGTAATAGATCTAAAACAAGTTTATAGAGCATTGTAATGAATATCTTTACTTACCAACTTGTGCTTTAACTTGAGATTTTGATATTTAAAAGATCTTTATTTGTAATCCTCTTCTTGTTCTATTTCTGAGTGATCTTGGGGGGGTGTGATTATTCCTTCAAGAGTGATTTGTAGAGAGGATTGTTTGGGTTTATCTTGTAAAGGGGTGAAATTTGAGAGAAACACCCTTCTTATTGTAAAAGGATTGAGTGGTTCCTTTAAACCACCCTTGATTTTGTTAGTGGAGAGTGTGGAGGAAATCCTTGGTGAGTGAAGTCAAGGTAGAGGACTAGGTTCCAAGTGGTTGGATCGAACCTCTATAAAATCATTATGCAAGCTCTTATTCCCTACTCTCTCTCTGATTTTTGTTTGGTGGTTACAAAGAGGTGAAAAATTTTCAACTGCAATTCATCCCCTTTCTTAGAGCATATTGAGTCAACATTTTGTGTATATGTAATAACAAAATTAACTATAAATATGTAGTGTTAGAATTGATAATTTAATTAAAGTAGATATATGTATAATATTAGTTAAAATAATCTCATATTTGATAGTATTAAATTTTTATTACTAAATTTATTATTTACGAAATATATAATATTTATAGATGTTACTAGTAGAATATTAAATATTAACATATATATTTATAAAATTTTTACACTTATAATCGACAGCCATTGGCTGTCGATTATAAGTATAATTAACAGTCAATAATGATTGTCGATTATACTCATACCACCTTCCCCACCTGAAAAAAGTTAAATTTCGCGATTGATATAATTTGAAACATAATCGACTGAATTTCTGTTGAATATATTCAGTCTATATATATAGAGACAAAAACATAATCAACAAATATCTTCTCATTTTCTCCTACTTCTCTCTTCCTCCTTTCTTTCCCAAAGATGTTTCACCTTGTTTCCCTTCTCCCTTTGTTCTTATCATCATCATCTTCTTCTTTTTTTCCCTTTCATTTTTATTTTTCTTTCTTCTTTCTTCTTCTCCCTTTCCTTCTATCTTTTTAATTCTTGTATTGCATGTCTTCATCCCTCCTTCTTGTTTCTACTTTGCTTTCATCATTCCTTCTACCTTTCCGATTTTCATTTTCGGTTGCCATCCTTCTACTTTTCCTTCATTTTCTTTCATTCTTTCATCTCAAGCTTTTTATTTTCTTTTATTTTTTTTATTTTTATTTATCATCCAATTATTTTTATTTGATCTATGAATTTTTTTTTATTTTTTTAGATTATTAAGCTTAAAATAATTTTATGAGGTAAATTCACATTTTGATTTATATTTTTCATTTCCTTTTACTTAAATAAAATCTTATAATGTATAATAATGCCTTTTCCTTTCCCTTTTACAGATGTTTTTATTTTATTGTAAGTAAATTACTTATCATTTATCTTACTTTTCCATTAATTCTCATAATATTTGAATATTATTCTTATTTTTCAATTATTCTCAAAATTATTTTATATATAATGTTGTTGCACTTGATTGATTTTATCATTCAATTTTGTTTAATGACTTTATAATTTAATGGTTAAATACCCTTTTTGGTCCCTCTACTATAGGAAAAAACCCATTTTTAGTCCCTATATTAAAAAAATCCCATTTTTGATCCTTACTGTTTGAAATCCGACCCCTTTTTGATCCTTTCGTTAAATTTTGGCTGATATGACAGGTTAATTAATGGAAAAACTTATTTTTTTTATTTTAATTATGTGGAAAATCCACCTGGTATAACTTAATGACATGGCCAAATTTTTTTGTTTAATTTAACCTTAAAATCATTTAATTACAAAATTGTCATTATAAATATTTTAAAGATTATTTGCCCCCATCTTCTTCCTTCCTCTAGCCTCTTTTTTTTTTTTCCCTTTCAGATCTCGCCAAGATCTTTGTGAACCCAACATTGGGTTTGCGTTGGGTTCACCTGGGTTCATGACGGGAAACCCATCACTTGGGTTTGCATGGGTTTGTGACGCGAACCCAACACTTGGGTTTGTGTCACGAACCCAATGCCTAGGTTCGCGTGGGTTTGTGACGTGAACCCAACACTTGGGTTCGCATAGGTTCGTGACGCTAACCTAACACTTGGGTTCACAAAACAAACCCAAGATCTAGGTTGGGTTCGCGACGAACCCAAGATCTAGGCTGGGTTTGCGACGAACCCAGCTCCTGGTTTCATCTACTGATTATGTTTGCATTCTAGGACTTTGTATTTCATATTCCATTTTTTGTTTTCACTGTCTCTGAACATAAATGATGTGGATTTAGCTTTTGAATTTCATTTGATGATTAGATCGTTCTTAGGAACGATTTTGAGTATTATAGTTGAAGATTCGAATCTCTTCTATTATGTATCTTGCTTTTTATATTAGATTTTAGCTTGCATCTACGGATTCTAAGTATAAAATATTTTGATTTCGTGTTTGAATTTTAACTATTGATTTGATCATTCAAAGAGTTGGATCATCGTGACGAATCCAGGTTTGCGACGAATCTAGCGACATAAGATAGAAAGGGGAAGAAGATGAGGCAAAAGAGGATAAGACAGAAGTGGGAAGAAGATAGGGGCAAGTAAGTAATTAAAGTTAAGTATCTTTAATTATAGAATAATTTTTAAAATATTTATAATAGCAATTATGTAATTAAATGATTTTCAAGGTTAAATTAGGCAAAAAAATTTGGCCATGTCATCAAGTTCTACTAGGTGGATTTTTCACATAATTAAAATAAAGAAAAAAATAAGTTTTTCCATTAGTTAATCTGCCACATCAACCAAAATTTAACGGAAGGATCAAAAAGGGGCCGGATTTCAAACAGTAAGAATAAAAAAGAGGATTTTTTTGGTATAGGGACTAAAAATGGGCTTTTTCCTATAGTAGAGGGACCAAAAAGGGTTTTTAACCTAATTTAATTAATAACTACGAAATTAAAAATTTAATTCTACATTTTTTAATTCTAATTTTTTTTTCTAGAACAAAAGTTGTCGAAAATCGACAGAAATGCTGTCGATTATACTATTTTTGACCCTTGTTTATTCAACAAATTTGGTTATTGATTATATTTGTCAATTATGCCTATAATCGACAGAATTTTCCCCATAATGAACAAAAAATTTTGTCGATTAAATCTTGTTTTTTAGTAGTGCTAATAGAGCAATGGTGGTATCCTTTTTAGTTAACAATCACAAAATAAAGTCACATGAGGCCGACCACCTTCTGATCAGGTGTAATTTATTATTACTTGTTAATATTATAATTATAATAGCATATAAAATTATAAATTTATAATTATAATGTGTTATTAAATGAACAGATACATATAATATCATGAGAATATTTTCAAAAGAACCAATTATATAATGGTATATCATATTATAAATTTACAATGCTACATGATATTATAGTTATATTATTTTCATTTTTTTTGGGTACAATTTTCATATTGTTACTTGCTTTGTGAAAGGCTCTTCTTAGGTTCGAACCCAATGAGATATCCTCTACTTGATTTCTCTTAATATAAAAGTAAAACAAGAAATAACATCCATCTTAAAAAAATAAAGATAAATTAGATGGAAACTCATTGTGAAAATTTACAAATTAATTTAGATGGCAATGATAGAACACCAAGAGTTAAAATCTATTTATAAGTAAGTATTATCTTATTAGTTAGTTTTGTAGGTTAAATTTTATAGTTAGCATTACAAAATATTTTTTCTGAAATACTTAAGGATGTTTTTAATAATGAAAATAACATAATTATAACATTACATGATATTATAAATTTATAACATAATATGTTTCCATATAATTGATTTTTTTCACTAAAAAATATACATGTAATATATGTATTAATTTATTTAATGACATATTATAATTCTAAACATATAATTTATGTGGTATTATAATTAGGTTAAATGCTAAATTTGGTTCCTCAACTCTAGTGAGTTGCGCATTTTTGGTCCCTCAACTATATGAAATGCATTCCGTTAGTCCTTTTGTCAATTTGGGCTGTTAATTCGACCACATGGCATTTCTTATATATTTTTTATGACATGGCAAGGACAACTTAAAAAGGTGCTGATCTTGACTTTTTTTTGATGACATGTCATCTTCCTGCACCAAAACCCCTCCAATGGATCCCACGTTACCTGCAAACCACCAATAAAGAAAAGTCTGTGAACCCTAGAATGGTCTCTCATCTTCACTCTCTACAAAATCAATCTAACTCATATCTTCTTATTCTTTGAATGCTCTCTCATCTCCACTCCATCTGCAAAATCGATCTTAATCCATTTCTTCTTCTTCTTTGAATGCTCTCTCATCTCCACTCCATCTACAAAATTGATCTTAACCCATTTCTTCTTCTTCTTTTTTTTTCTTGGGGAAACTTGAGAAATTGACCAAATGCAGGGAATTCGTGATGAGATTTGCTCAAGTTGGGTTGCCTCTACTGCTAGTGGGGTGAGTCCTTACAAAATAATATGTCTATGAACCCTAGAATGCTCTAAAGGAGAATTTGGAATTCTTTGTCATTGAACCTAGCTATTGGGTTTCACTGAAGCCTCAAACCTAGTAGATCTTATCAAATCAAATTAACCCTTCAATAAACAATATCAATCAAACTCTAATCAAATTCCAACAAAAGTACAATCAAACTTTAATCAAATTCCAACAAAAATGCAATCAAATTGTAAATCAACTCCCAAATTTATTAACAACTGGGAATGGAAATCGAAAGAAAAATGAAAAAACATGAACCCAGCGTCAAAACAGGAAGGCTGGTTTGCGTGACCAGCAAGGTTGGGTTCATTGGAACCCATTCGATCTGGGTTTCGACGAACCCAACAAGGTTGGGTTTCGACAAAACCAGCAAGGCTAGTTTGTGCGACCAACAAGGCTAGGTTCATCAGAACCTAGCCGATCTGGGTTTCAACGAACCCAGCAAGGTTGGGTTTCAACCGAACCCAACAATAGATCTGGGTTTCGTCAAACCCAACAAAGCTGGGTTTATTGGAACCTAGCCTATTTCCACCAACCTAGGGTAGTAAAGAAAGAAAGAGAAAGAAAGAAAGGGAAGAAGAAAGATTGGGAGGGTGAGGGTAATAAGGTAATTTTATTTGTTTTTAATTAAAATATAAATATTAATCTACGTGGCATTCTTATTTATTTATATAACATAATTATAATATATATTATTGCCACATCATAAAAAAAAAATAAAAGACAATGCCACATGAAATTATTTAATTGCCACATCATACTTAATTGACGGAAAAACAGAAACTGTGCAATTTTTAGAGTCGAGGGATCAAAAAAATGCAAAAAATTGTTGAGGGACCAAAAATGTGCATTTCGTAAAGTTGAGGGACTAAATTTAGCATTTAACCTTATAATTATAAGATTGCATGTTTTAATAATGCATGTTTTAATAATGCATTGTATGGAAAAGTGATTTGGAAAAACACTCCCAAACTAAGGATGGCAATAGGGCCCTGTGGGACTGTTCTTGCCCCGTGAATGGCAAGGACGAGAATTCTCACTAGGATTTTTGACGAGGTAGATTTTGTCTCCCATCCCCATTCTTGACGGCGATCCCCATTCCTCACCAATTTATATATATACATATAAAAACAAAAAAAGTTATGCCTTTACATAATCAAGATGAAATTAAAGAGGCAAGAGTTGACCAGGAGATTTAAGACGAAACCATGTTTACGGACGGAAAACATCAATTTTTGCATCAAAAAATTTGCTTGAATCTAAGATTAATCAAAGATTAACATTTAACAAATCCAAACCACAAAAAAAAAGGAATAAAATCACTCATACTGGTAGATCGACTTCAGATATAATATTACCACAGAGAATTTAGTAATGGATTTTGCAACAAAGAGACGAATTTAACAATCAAATGAATAAGTAGAACGAATTTAGCAACCAAATCAACAAGTAGAACCAAAAAGAAAAAAGAAAAGAAATGAACAATAAAAAAAAAAGAAAAAAGAAAAACATGTTTGAGGTGATGAAAATGTGAAACAACAAGAGAACACTTGATGAGATGGATGAAGAAAAGTGAAAAGCTGAATGCTCGAGCTTTTGGAGCAACAAAAGCAAAATAAGCAGATAGATGGTCTGCTTCTGCAGTGCAAGGGAACAAACTTGATGCTAAAGCTTTCGGAGTAGCAAAACCAAAATAAGCAAATAAATGGTCTGCTTCTGTAGGGGAACAAACTTGACGCTCAAGATTTTGGAGCAACAAAAGCAAAATAAGTAGATAGATGGTCTGCTTCAACAGGGGAACCAACTTGATACAGTTTGGTACCAACAATAGCATGGGGAAGGTTAGAGTGAGTGATGCAATTCCCATGTGGCCCAGTGGTGGCCATGCTGCCCATTAGGCAACAGGTGGAATGTACGCTGATCATGAGTTTGATTATCTCAAGAAACAGATACTAACTAACCTAACTTAGAATTTTCTACTGTCAAAAAAGAAAAAAAAAAGAAAAAAAAAAAGGGCATTAAAGTGAGTGATGATTGATGAGATGTTAAGGTAATAAGGTTAGGGTTAATAATGAGTTAGGTTGGGTTGGGTTGGGTTGGATTGGGTTGTGTAAAATTGGGTTAAATTTAATTTTTATAAGTTGGATTGGATTGGGTTATGTAAAATTGGGTTAAGTTTAATTTTTATGGGTTGGGTTAAGTTGGATTGTATAAAATTAGGTTAAGTTTAATTTTTACTAGATTAGGTTTGGATTTGAGTTTGATAATGGGTTAAATAAAATTTAAAATAAAATTAATTTATATATATTTTTAAAATTTTTTGCGGGGATGGAGGGAATTGCCATCCTTATCCCAAACACCCCTAAATCTGGTACACCAAAATAGGGACAAAAGTGCATGCATCACCCTGCGCACGAAGAATGTGTATACACATAACAATTAAAAATTGCAAAACCTAAAATTGAGCATTTGAGTATGAGAACAACCTTTCTAAATGAAACTTCAGAGAGAAAACTGTTTTAGATACAAAATTTGAACCAAGGAGGAAAGTACAGAAAAATTTTGAAATTGTAGGTTAAAGGGCTTTCAATGTAAGGCCTCAGGCCAACCGGCTGGCTGGACCTCAAAATCCTGTAAGAAAGTCCAAAAATGTAATACTTCACAAGCTACTGTTTGTTGCGCAACAGAGTTAACAAGTTAACATGGAGAGTGTTATTGCATCGGCGCATAAAAGAGTAAATAATTATAAATATTAATTATAATTTGTTATGAACGAAAGATTGAAAATGATATGAATATTCAATTTGTTCTAGCAGATGCGATGTTTGGCCAAGGGGTGCAGTAGAGATTGTTGTCAGGAGCTAAGAATGCAGTTGAGATTACTGTGAAGAGCAGTAGTTGTAAGGAGTTATAGTTGTGGTTGTAGTTATGTTAAATTGTATTGTATTATAATTGTGGTTAAATGATATTTTAATATTTAATTATTTATTTTTAAATTGTTATAAATGATATATGATAAATTTTATTAATTATTAATTAAAATTTTAAAAAATAGTATATGATGTATAATTATTAAAATATATAATATTTACTATTTCTTAATAATTTAAGTTTTATAGATTTTTTATGATTGCTATATTTTTATATGATTTTTTATGTTTTTTATTTTTTATAAAATCTTTAAATAAATGAGAGATTAAGTTTAAATAAAATATTATAAATTATGATGTAATTAAATTAGATGAGATTAGATTTTAATAAATAATTTTATAATTATATTAAATATTATATATTATTCGTAAAATCCACAATCATAAAACTCTAAAATAAAATTTTTAATTATATATATATAATTATTATAAATTGACTATAATTTTCTCTAATTTAAAAAAAATAATAAAAAATTACCAAACATATATATATGTCTAAAACTACTATATAATGACCATAAAAAAACCCAACTATAATTCCAATCACACCTTAAGTCTCTTAAGAAGAAATGCTTTCTAGTTTTAGATTACCCTCTTGTTCCCGTGGTAATTTGGGTATTCTATATATTATAGAAAATTACTTGTGATCCTTATTTTAAAGGTTATTACCTTTTATTTACGCGAAGAAAAAGCAATTTTTTTTTTTTTTTTCTTTTTAAGTTACTCATACAACATGATTCTTATGTTTCACTCCGCCGTGCGTAAAAAAGTGAACTTTTGATGGGTGGAACTAATGGTTTTAGATCCGTTGGGTATTTGTATAGTGTTCTAGAGGTAATAGTTAGTAATTTTATGTAAATTGGTAAAAATAATTATTTAATAAATTTATTTATTT